TGTTAGCAGGTCTTGTTAGCAGATCTTGTTAGCAGATCTTGTTAGCAGGTCTTGTTAGCAGGTCTTGTTAGCAGATCTTGTTAGCAGGTCTTGTTAGCAGGTCTTGTTAGCAGCTTGATGGTAATAAGGACCGCAGCAGCTGCCACTCAGTGCCACTTCTTGCCCAGCTCTAGTTAATGTAAAAGACAAATTGATTCAAATAATCCTTATTTGTCATTTTCTTCCTAGTTTTGATGTACATGTACATGTTTAGTTGCATCTCACGTTCTATTTCAGGTGTAACAATAAAAATACATCAGAATAAATGCTGCAGTAAAGTCCAGCATCCAGTTCTATGGGACTTGGTTTGAAATAATCGTAGCTGTTGAAACGCCAACGGTTTGATGTACGAAGAGCCTGTCACTCCCTGAGAACATCCCTAATGAGACAGGCAGACAGAAAGACCAAAGTGAAGACCTCTCTGAACTGTCTGAACACTGTCAGCGTCAGAGGTCTCTGGTGGTCTCACCTCGGTAAGATATTACAAGTTCACTAGTTGTGAGCTCAGGAACAAACTCAGTCCACTTAAGTTTGGGAGTTTTAATAAAATAAATTAAAACAGATTGCAATGATTTACACATATTTGTACAATTTTTTGACAAAATAAAGTGTACAATTTTACAAGCTGTGTGAATAAAAGTAGGCTTCGATCTTCAAATCTTATCTACACAAAACATCTCCCTGAGTGCTTTGTCACTCTGCAACTGAGAAGTTGCCTGTTTTGTTGCTCTTTGGAGTTGCTAACACATCTCCGACAGTCACAGCCCATCCTGGTCCTGTGAGACAAACACTGGGTGGAAACACTAACGTCCACGTTATGAGAAGGGGGACATTTGTAGGAGTTAGGAAACTTTTTGAAAAGTTAAAAAAAAAGTTTAGAGAGGGTGAAAAAGAAATCAGTTGTCAGTTCCAGCGTGTAAAATTAGTCTTTTTGTGACTTTGAAACGTTAAAGTATGTCTGCAGCTTCAAGCAGCTTCTGGGACAGCTGAGGTTTCATCAGTTTGCCAGTATCCTATAGTTGTAATATCCTATAGTTGTAATATCCTATAGTTGTAATATCCTATAGTTGTAATATCCTATAGTTGTAATATCCTATAGTTGTAATATCCTATAGTTGTAATATCCTATAGTTGTGTTTGGAGTAGTGATTTTACATTTGCTCTATTCACCATATTCTATACCTTATAGATATAGAATCCTTTTATTCGTATATCTATTCTTCATACAAAGTACTGCTGCCTAAAGTGAAAGGCCACCACTGAGCCTCACATTTTCACAGAGTTTACTTGTAGGATTTTCAAAATGATGGCAGAAGAAGCAGATTAAAAATTTAAAGAAAATTAAAGAATTACGGTCAAATAATAACCAGAGAAATATTTTCTGTCAAATTCAGTGAGTGATGAAGAGTTTCCACAAGAAGCAAGAGACACTAAACTTAACCAAGCAAAGTACAAGCTAATATGAGCAAAGCTTGAGCTAAACTGAGCAGAACTTGAGCTAAAGTGACAGAACATGAGCTAAAGTGAACAGAGCATGAGCTAAAGTGACAGAGCA